TACTAGTTATTACAGTGGAGTGGAGGCCTGTCATTTTATTGCCTATTAATAAGGAAAAGTTGGGGTGGCAGCTGCTGTTGAATTAGGAAGTCAATTCAGAGACAGCTGCCCAAGTGGTGCCCTGGCTGTTGCTAAACTCCTCCATACCAAGGTCTTCATCACCAATCTGGCAGGTAGCTCGAGGGTTTGTGTGGATGTTTTGAAACCATGAAGACCAGAACCAGGATGACTCCTCCTTTCTCTTTTCATATCAGCCCTCGATTCTCTCAAACCAGACCCCTAGAGTCTTTACACCCCAAGCTCCATAATAGAGGGTCCCACAGTACCCATCTCCCTTTAGCCCTCCTCCTTCAGCTCATTCTCTTCACACTCAGACCTCAACATCTGCTCACATCTTCTTACACCTCACTCTAGTTTCCTTCTGCCTGTCCCTACACCACATTTCAGAATGCTCCTCAGTCTCTGTCATTAGAGTTGAGTTAATTTCCTTTGCCTGGCTTCTTCTGTATTTTAAGACCACATTGCATCATAGTGCATATGGGGCTACTCTCCTGGCTAAGTAATAAGCTCCTGTAACACATTTTAGTTTAGTAAATATTTACTGAGCATCTACTGTGAGCCAAGTATTCATTACACTGAGGCTGTTGAGGCAGATGCAGAGACGAATTAAACTGTGTCTATTCCCAGCCTTTCTCCCCAAATCTATAGTGTAATACTTCTTGAATAAATGGCTGAAGGAATGTCCTATTTATCCTAGATGTCTTTCTTGATCCTCAAGATCTAAAGATCAAAGCGAATCAGTGAACTCTGATTTGGTCAGGGAGCTGGCTTTCCAGTTTTCTACATAGCAATTTGGAATCAGGGCTGGGATTAGCGAGGCAAGTGAGGCAAGGTCATGCCAGTGGATCAGATCCTGTTACTATTGAAAAGCTGGCTTAGTTTCTTCATGTTTAATGGAAAACATATTTGCCACTCCTGCCTCCAACTTATTTTCATGTGGGTCTGAAGACGGTGGTAATCCACATAACTGCTTCATTCTCTTGCCTCATGTGCTTCCCTGCACCCTCCCCACACATCAATCACCTTGTTCAGACTCTGTCTAAGCCAACTCAGCCCACAGATAAGGATTGTCTGCCTGCAAGGGGCAGAGAACTCTCCCAGGTACCTTGGGAACACTAAGAGGTTTAAAACTTGCATCTGCCAGTCATCTGGTACTTTACCAAGGAGCCGAAGCACCAGTGTGGAGATCCAAAAGCAGGGGCTCTGGTTTTCAGTCCTGGTGCAGCAGGGCATGGTCTTTGGCAAGGCTCACCATCTCTGGGCCTGTTTCCTCACCTGCAAAAGACAGAATAGTAACTCCTGCCTCCCAGGGTGGTTGTGAGGATTTGATGGAAGCTATTTTACACAAGCATTTTGTAAATTATAAAACCCCATATCAATATCTATATTTAAAAAGATCATGGCTGAGCGAGATGGCTCATGCCTGTAATCCAAACACTTTGGGAGGCCAAGGCAGGTGGATCATGAGATCAGAAGATCAAGACTATCCTGGCCAACATGGTGAAACCCCATCTCTACTAAAAAATATAAAAACTACCTGGGCGTGGTGGTGCATGCCTGTAGTGTCAGCTACTCAGGAGGCTGAGGCAGAAGAATTGCTTGAACCCAGGAGGCGGAGGCTGCAGGGAGCCAAGATCGCACCACTGCACTCCAGCCAGGGCAACACAGCAAGACTCTATCTCAAAAAAACAATTAATTAATTAAAAATAATAAATAAAAAATGCAAAAGGAATACGCTAAGTGTGAATTAAGTGAAAAGAAGGGTTGTGATTTCAGTTGAGCTGATTAAAAAACGAACAAACTCACTAAGAAGGTTTTAACTGGGTTGGGTAAATTGGGGGACTGACTAGTAGCACTTTACCTACCCATGGTCCTCTCTGCTCTCCTACCTCTACGTGGCGCCTGTATATCATGTAAGTCTCCTGTGTGCTCTCCTCCTAGGCCTAGGCTTGTCTAAGATGCTTTGTGCCTTCATGTCTCATTCTGGGGGTCTGTGTGTTTTTCCTTTGGGTCCTACATGATGGTTTTTGGTGGTTGCATGTTTTCTTTTCTTTTCTTTTCTTTTTTTTTTTCCCCAAGATGGAGTCTTGCCGCCCCACCACTACTGGCTAATTTTTGTTATTTTTAATAGAGATGGGGTTTCGCCATATTGGCCACGCTGATTTCGAACTTCAGACCTCAGGTGATCCACCCCACTCGACCTCCCAAAGTGTTAGGATTACAGGCGTGAGCCACCGCTCTCGGCCGCGTGTTTTAACCGTAAATACTTCAGTCTTTTTTTTTTTTCTATAGTCAATTAAGACTGGGGAAAAAATCCTAGCGCTAGGTGGGACCAGCATTTACCAGTTGGTATGAGGCTGGAAGTGTTGGTGCATGGCGGGCTGTCTCTGGTTCTTAGGATGTGAACTCTTGACCTTGGCGGGCCCACCCGCTGAGCTGACTCAACCGGCAGGTTTTCGGAGGCCTGAGGACTGGGAGGGGGTGGAAGCAGGCGGGGCCGGGGCGGGGCCGCGGCCCGGGGTCTGAGGGTCCTGGGCTGGAGCGCCCCAGCCGCTGGTCCCCTGGAAACCCTGCGCCCCCAAATCGCGGTTCGCGGCGCGCGTCAGGTGAGTAGCGCGGTAGCGGGGATTCCAGCTAACGGTGGTAGAGGCTGATGTTGGATGTTGTCCCCGCTCCTCTGACTCCTCGGCAGGCCAGGGGAGCACCGCGCCCCTAATCTTGGAGGAGCTTCCAACCTCTGCGGTCCTTCGGGGAAGCCAGGGTTAGTCTGGGGTGTAGCCAGGTGCCCTGTCCACTGTGGGCACGCTGGGGATTCCGGGCCGAGGAAGGACTCCTGGTACGTGTTTAAAAAGTCGGCATCCCAGAGGGAAGATTGGGGCAGATGGGCATCGGGGAAGGCGGTCCCAACTAATGGGACCGTTTCTGAGCGCTTAAGCCTATTCGATGGATGCTAAAGACTGCCTGCTTTGTCAGGCCACTGTGAGCAAAACAGGCTTTGTTCCTGGCCGCGGGAATCTTCAAGGCTGGGGTTCCGGAGCTGGGCGCGCGATGACAAACAGTAAGCGCGGAGAGCTGCGCCAGGAGCGCCCACTGGGGCCGCGATCTGGTGGGTAGGGGCAGGGCAATGGCTGGAAAGGGTCCCTGAAGCCCTGAGCAGAGACCCAAGTGCCGCACTACTGCAGGAAGGCCATTTTGCTTGGCTGACAGGCGGAAAACTCACGTGGCTGAAGTAGCAGGGCTGGTGACGACAAGGGCGGATCCCACTAAGCCTTGCAAGTGTTGCGGGTGGTGGGGAGTTCTCAGAATTGCTGTGGATAAAGAGTTTCGGGTTGGAGAGAGATTGGGTGAACTCAAAGAACTAAAAGATGGCGACGACACATTACCTCAGAGGATTTACATTCTGAAAGGGTAGGGATAGGCCCGGGTACAGATAAGCCCGCAGGTGACCTCCAGCTCTTACAGCCGAAAGTCTGATGAATTGTGCCCAGTCTCCTTCCCCCTCCCCACGGCCCGAAGTCTGGGGCCTGGAGATGAAGGAAGTTCTTGGGAGGCAGATGTGCCTGGGAAAGAAACAGCTGCAGAGATTCAGTGCCCCCAGGGGTTAGGATCCTCACCGAGGGCCTCTTCCTACCGCCTCCAGCAAATGCCATCTTGAGGACTAGCGGCAGCAGCAGGTCTTCTCTGCCGGAGAACTGGAAGGTCAGGTTCTTGAGGGCAATGATACTAAGGGTGTTTCGAAGTGCATTTGGCTGGAAAGTGGAAGAATAATCCAAGATCTGCACACCTCACCAAAGGAGGGTGAATGATTTGGAAAGAAAGGAAAGGAAAGGGAGGGAGAAGAAAGAAAAAGAGAGGAATAAAGGAAGAAAATCAAATTCGTATCCCGGGAATGCAGCTTTCATAACATTTTGGAGATCCAATTAACTCTATTCCTCCAGGACGTTTTTCCTTGCTGGTATTTTCAGTTCTATTACACTTTTCAAAAAGTGAAAGGAAAAAGCCAACAAGTTTTGTGGGGGTTTTGTTGGTTTTTTTTTGTTTTGGTATTTTGTTGTTGTTGTTGTTAAACGGAGTCTCACTTTGTCACCCAGGCTGGAGTGGCAGTGCCGCGATCTCGGCTTACTGCAACCTCCGCCTCCAGGGTTCAAGTGATTCTCCTGCCTCAGCCTCCCAAGTTGCTGGGATTACAGATGTGCACCAGTATGCCTGGCTATTTTCTCTTTGTATTTTTAGTCGAGACAGAGTTTCACCGTGTTGGCCAGGCTGGTCTCGAACTCCTGACTTCAGGTGATCCACCTATCTCAGCCTCCCAAAGTGCTGGGATTACAGGCATGAGCCATCGTGCCTGTCTTCTGGATTTTTCATTTAATATTTTTGAACCGTGGTTGACCCTGGATAACTGAAACACTGGAAAGCAAAACCACAAAAAGGAGGAGCTACTACATGTCTTGAAAATCCAGGTCACAGAATCGTGTGTGTGTGTGTGTGTGTGTAATTTTGGTTATGAAAGGGATCTTAGAGAGTGTCTCCTTTATTTTCACATTTCTGATGAAACCAAGTCAGAAATAAAAAGACTCACACAAGGTGATCTGTTACAGATCCTGGCCTGGTTACCCCAGGTACATGATTTCTAGTGGTACTGACTGAAAGGTTTCGACATTAACTTTTGCAGATCAAGAGTGTCCACATGTCCTTGGAAAATTATTTAGCATCTGTGCATTAGGTCCTTAAGATGGGACCAGAAATTGTTACCTCATTGCTGAGAGCATTCAGTGGCACACAGCAGGAGTTTAATAACTACTGGCATTCCCTGACCAGATAAAAAAGCTGTTTCTTACCCTAACCTCTTGATGATATATTTTGTTTTTCTCTGACCTCAGGTTTCTAGAAGCAGGGTGGACAGAGGGCAGACACCTAGCCCAGCCTCCAGTTACTAAACAATGGCAGCTGGTGAGCGAAGGGTGACCAGGGCCCTGAACTCTGTGGCCCTGGCTTTGACGGAAGCAAAGTTGTTCTCAATTGTGGAAGAGGAGACTTTGGACAGCAGAACAAAAAAGGAAGACAGTCTCTTGGAGCAGATGCATTTGTCACAGGAAGCCACATCAAACCCTGGGGTCTTTGTTAAACCTCTCCATCTGCCCAGTTACCAGGAGGTAGATAGCCCCAGGAAGGAGTCCAGTCAGCCCTGGGTGCCAGGCCAGGAGTGGATAAAGCTAGAAAGAGGCACCACAGAAGAGAAGGTGTTTGAACAGCTGAAGCCCATCGCACCTGTACAGAAGACGGTCCCATGGGTGGGCGAGGTAGCCACCACCCCGCAGGAAGCCATGAAGAGAGATTGCTGGTGGGAGGCATGGGTGAAGAAGGTGAGGACACCAAGCTAGAGAGAGGTGGGGTCCAGGTCCTGGACGCCAGGAACTCTTTCATGCATGCTCCTGCCTGCAGGTGAAACGAAATCTCAGATTGTTCCAGGCTGAATGACATCCAGAAAATGGAGCTGCAAGACGTTTCTCCATCTCCCACAACACCCTGGCAGCCTTCACGGAGTGCTTTCTGAAATTTGTTAGAGTGGCAGCATTTTTTCCTTTGTTTTGCTTTCCTATCTATATTCTGCGTATCCTCCTTCCCCAGCCCCCCACATCTGTCTCCCTTTCTCTTCATCTTTCCTTTCCTTTCTATACTACCCAGTTACTGGCCTTGTGTCTGTCTTTTCATATTTCTGTCTTCCTTCCATGGGTTTATCTTTCTCTTAGGTTTTAATTCTCTCAATTTTGAGAATGGATGTTAATCTTGTACACACACACACACACACATGCACGCCCCCCCACACACACACACGTATGTATTGAAATAAACTTCTTGAGTCTCTCCTGTTCTTCCAGAAGCCAGTCACCTTTGAGGATTTGGCAGTGAATTTCACCCAGGAAGAGTGGGACTGTCTAGATGCCAGCCAGAGGGTCCTTTACCAGGATGTTATGTCGGAAACCTTTAAGAACCTAGCATCTGTGGGTAAGAGGCTGGGCTTCCCTCAGCAAGCTCCCTGTTCCTAAAGGCCCTGGAACATGTTTTCCCTGGACAGGTAGATCAGCTCACAATTAGTTTCACTGACCCCTGGTTCTGTGCCTTCCAGATTTGAAAGATCTGAGTCACTAAGCTCAGTGGTAAAGAGAAGAAATGATAGCCTGCATGAAGGCAAAGATAAAACTTGTAACATGATGACAGTGTTCTCAAAATATGCAAATTTTTTCATTCATCCAACCAACCAATATTTACTAAGTCACTCCTGAGAACCAGGTACTTTGCTAGCAGCTGGCCTTTTGAATGTCTCCTTTCTGCATCTACATGTCCCAGGTTATGGTTCTTAAATAAAGGCTACAAGAGGTAGCCTATCGTCCCCATCAGATGTGAAGGGGCCACACCTAGGACCAACTCAACTCTTTCTCATTCCCACACATCAGCCAGAATGTTTCTGCATAAGCCAGAGCTAATCACCAAGCTTGAGCACCAAGAGAAACAGTGGAGAGTGTTTCTCCAGCTCCCAAACACAGAAGGCCTTTCAGGTAAGAATTGCCAAGCAAAGATGAAGGTAAAAAGGGCCCAGGATAAACCCTGAAAGGATGGAGAGCTGATCAAGAGAATGAATGCTCTATATGCCCTCCTAGTGTACCTCTTTCCAGCCCAGTCAGATTTGGAGTTGAAAGAGAGCTTAAGATCATAGGCTCAAGTCCCTTGACTTCAAGTTGAAGATCTAAGTCTTTCAGTACTAGCAAATATCTTCAGTTTCTAGAGATTGAGAGACAACATGAAGGTTGCTTATGTCCACAACGCTGCTCTGACTTAAATGTTCTTTCCAAGAGAAAAGAGAAGCAAGGGGGATAGGCTTCATGCTGGGTTGGAGTAAAGGAGGCTTGTCCTTGGGAGTAAATAGTTGAGAGAGATATCAAGCCAGGCTGACCACACTTCCTGGTTTGCCAGGACATCCTGGTTTATACTCTCATCCCAGCTTGATTATTAATGAGACCTCTTTTACCTTCAAGTGGCCCAGTGTTCATGATGTATTATTGTGTGGGTGTCTATGGAGTGTCTATGGGAGTTTGAGCAATATTGAAGATGAGATAAGATAGATTTCAAGAAGTGTTGTTGTCAGTTAAAATTTACATCTCTGATACTGTTGAAAGATTTTCCAGTCAAATTTTTATTTGCTTTTAATTTGAAAAGCCATTTTTTTCTTATTTCTAGCCTATGAGGCCCAAGGGTGAGGATGAATATGTTGGGTGGGAGAGCAAGGGTAGAGGCAAGAAGTGTCTTTCTTAGGCTGAATGGAGGAACCGTGTTGGAGTTTTTTTTTTTTTTTGAGATGGAGTTTTACTCTTGTTTTCCATGCTGGAGTACAATGGTGTGATCTCAGCTCACTGCAACCTCCGCCTGCTGGGCTTAAGTGATTCTACTGCCTCAGTCTCCCTAGTAGTTGGGATTACAGACGGATGACATGACACCCAGGAAATTTTTGTATTTTTAGTAGATATGGGGTTTCACCATGTTAGTCAGGCTGGTTTCGAACTCCTGACCACAGGTGATTTGCCCACCTCAGCCTCCCAAAGTCCTGGGATTACATGCGTGAGCCACTGCGCCCAGTCTGTGTTGGCGTTCTTAAAGTGAATTTTGTGTTATTCTTTTTCATTCATTACAGAAGGCAAGAAGAAAGAGCTTCAAGAACAAGATCACAGTCTGAGAGATGAAGGAACTAGTGAGGACAAGGTCTTCCTCGCATGCAGAGGGGCCCTCTCTGCCCCAACTGGGTGTATGGACAGGACCCGGGTGCTTCAAGCATCACGGGGTGGGCCACCTTTTTTTTGCCACACCTGCGGCAAGTGTTTCAGTAGGCGCTCCTACCTCTACAGCCACCAGTTTGTTCACAATCCCAAGCGGACTAATAGCTGCAGCCAGTGTGGGAAGCTGTTTCGGAGTCCCAAGTCCCTCAGCTATCACAGACGCATGCATCTTGGGGAGAGGCCCTTCTGTTGCACGCTCTGTGACAAGACCTACTGTGATGCTTCTGGTCTAAGTCGTCACCGCCGCGTCCATCTGGGTTACCGGCCCCATTCATGTTCCGTGTGTGGGAAGAGCTTCCGCGACCAGTCTGAGCTCAAACGCCACCAGAGGACACACCAAAACCAGGAGGCAGTGGATGGAAACCAAGAGTATACTTTGAGGACTCCAGGCACCCCTGCTGGATTCCAGACAGCCATCACCAGAAGCCAGAGGTCCATCCAGGGGCTTGTGGACATGGACCATGCACCAGGGGCCAGGTCCCAGGAATCCATATTTAGAACTGAGGGTCCTATGGTCCAGAACCAGCCATCTGTACTTAAGAACCAAGTGCCTGTGACCAGGACCCAGGCACCAATCACTGGAACCCCTTGTCAGGATGACAGATACAATTCTTATCCAGTGAAGCCCTCAAGACTCAATGTCTTCTCTTGCCCCCATTGTCCTTTGACTTTTAGCAAGAAATCCTATCTCTCCAGCCACAAGAAGACCCACCTCATAGAGCCACCCAACTACTGCTTTCATTGTAGCAAGTCTTTCAGCTCATTTTCCAAGCTGGTCAGACACCAGCAGCAGACCCACTGGAAGCAGAAGAGCTACCGTTGCCCTATCTGTGACCTCTGCTTTAGGGAGAAAGAGGGCCTTATGGGTCACTGGAGGGGCTCTAAAGGCAAGGAACTGTGCCCAGACAGCCACGGTAAATGCCGGGTGATCCTGGGCCAGTGGCTTGGCTTCTCTCATGATGCCCTCACTGTGGCTGGGGAAGAATGGAAGCATGGAGGTGATGGGTCTCCCCCCAGGATCCACAGCCCCAGGAGAAGAGGCATAACGGAGAAGGCATGCAAAGGAGACAAAACAAAGGAGGCAGTGAGCATTTTGAAACATAAATAAACGGCCTTTCCTACTGAGATCTTTGTATTTGGTTTTTCTGAGGACTGATCTCCGGGGTAAGGAGGCTGGAGTAGAGGGAGAGAGGTGAGCGCATAAGGAAGGAAATATAGGCCGGGTGTGGTGGCTCACGCCTGTAATCCCAGTACTTTGGGAGGCCGAGGCGGGTGGATCACGAGGTCAAGAGATCCAGACCATCCTGGTCAACATGGTGAAACCCCGTCTCTATTAAAAAACAAATACAAAAGATTAGCTGGGCATGGTGGCGCATGCCTGTAATCCCAGCTACTCAGGAGGCTGAGGCAGGAGAATTGCCTGAACCCAGGAGGTGGAGGTTGTGGTGAGCCGAGATCGCACCATTGCACTCCAGCCTGGGTAACAAGAGCAAAACTCTGTCTCAAGGGAAAAAATAAAAAAGGAAGGAAATATATATATTTTAAAAAGGGGTTAGAAGTGTGCATATGGAAATTTGTGTTAGTATTACTATTTATTTTATTTTTATTTTTTTGAGACAGAGTCTCACTCTGGCTCGGGCTAGAGTGCAGTGGTGTGATCTTCGCTCACTGCAACTTCCGCCTCCCAGGTTCAAGTGATTCTCCTGCCTCAGCCTCCCCCGAGTAGCTGGGATTATAGGCGCCTGCCATTACACTCAGCTAATTTTTTGTATTTTTAGTAGAGATGAGGTTTCACTATGTTGGCCAGGATGGCCTCAAATTCCTGGTGTCGTGATTTGTCCACCTTGGCCTTCCAAAGTGCTAAGATTACAGACCTGAGCCACTGCCTGGCCAAAACTTGTATTATTATTATTAATTAGCACCTAGCTTGTTTGTTTGTGTCTGACAGACCATCCAGTAGTAGTTGTTGGATAAACAGTGGATACTCTGATAGGTATGAAGATGGGAGAAAAAGAATGAGAGGAGGGGAAGATTCTGAGAGACCTGTGGAAGATATATAAGTAAAACATTCTGAAGCAGGCATGTTGCCTAGATTTCACCTCTTGCTTCCCCAAGTCCCTGCTAGGCTACCAAAACAAGGTGGACCTCTGGCTATCATTCTGTAGGTTTCTCCCAATCTCCAGGTTTGGGTTGGGGCGACCCATATCCTCACTCTGCAGCCAACTCAGCTGTCTTTAACGTTCTGAACTCTTCCTCTTCCTTCCCTTCACATGCATTTCAGTTCTGCGCAATCAGGGCTGGAGTCTTGGAGGAAACAACCACCATTTGCAAAGTTATCATACTGTAATTTTCAGTGAGGAGGTTCCTGGCCTCCAGTTAGTGACAAAGACCATCCTATCTGTGTAGCTCTCCAGCACAGATGTCCTCTGATGGAGAGAGGAGCACCTGCCTGTCCTTAGCCAGAGAGGGCTTCCAGGTGGAAGACTGGAGAGAGAAATAGAAAGATGGGTAATAAAAACGGGAAAAGGAAGAAAGAGAAAAAGTAGATGACAGAAGGGAAATCAATTCTCCTTGGAATTCAGAGTGTTCTGGAAGTGCAAATTGGAATGTCCCCATAGCAAATATGCCAGTGAGTGTGCAACTTGATGGATGAGACATCCCCAAGGACCAATCCCTGGGCAACCAGGCTCTCCTCCACCCCTGCCAAGATGCGGCACCATTCAGAAGGGATTTCCTAGAAGAAGGAGAAAATAACTTGAAAAATTGATGTCAGTAATATCACAAAACCATTGAACTAGGGAGAAGAATAGCCCTTGGGGTTATTTCGTCTCCATGCCTGCCTCAATGGTTGGTCTTAGAGGTGAGGCACTGGGCAGTTGCTGTGGAATGGGCAATGAGAACAGCTAGGGTGGGATTCCTGCTTAGGAGCAGTGAAGGAGGAACAGATCAGGCAGCAGTGCCTCCAGCTTCTCTGTCAGCTGTAAATGTGTCTAACAACTGGCCTCTTTCCCCTCTACCTCCCAGGAGGAGTTCTCCCTCCCTCCAGGTTCTCCAGCTCCTCCTTTCCTCTGGGACTGTGATTCCTCAACAGTCCCCCTTTTCCTCTTGTTGCTTCTGTCTCTCTTTCCTGGCTTTTTATTTTCTGATTATAAGAGAGAGAAGAGAACTTACTTAGCTCTTCAAGGAATTGCCCTGAAAACAAAAAGAAACAAATAACGTGATCAATGGAAGATGACTAGCACCTTCCCCACATCCTCCCTGTGGACATTCGGAGTGACCCACACCCCTTTCCACTGGGGGACCCCACAGATTTAGTAAGTGGTTCTCTTCACAGTTTTTCAGAAGAACCTGGGATTGGGCATGGGGACAGAGGAGTAAGGAAATCCCAGCTTCCCTAATCTTGAGCCCTGGTTCCATTCTCTGTTTCCCACTCAGAGCTGACTTGTCCCCCACTATTTGGTGGTCTTGCCTGCTGCCCAGCCACTGCACCTGCTAATCTTCGATGTAGCCAGTTGTAACAGATGATCAAGGCGACCAGCGGTCCAAGAACCGGCACAATTACAAACAGGGTTATCTTCCAGCAGGGCACCCTCAGAAAGTGGGGATCTGAATTATTCACCAGAACAAACAGGGTTAGCGTATGTTCCCCCTCATGCCCCACCCACCCTTCTTTTTTGGTTCCTTAACCTGGGGTCCTAGAACACCAAAGGTCTCTGGGGACAGAATTCAGAGAGTCCATGAAGTTGGATGAGAAAAGTACTGCTTTCTTATTTTCATTAGCTGGATTTAACATTTTCTTTCATTAAAAATGTAACAACTGCCGGGCGAGGTGGCTCATGCCTATAATCCCAGCACTTTGGGAGGCCGAGAGGTGGATCACAAGGTCAAGAGATCGAGACCATCCTGGTCAACAAGGTGAAACCCTGTCTCTACTAAAAATACAAAAATTAGCTGGGCATGGTGGTGCGCACCTGTAGTCCCAGGTACTCAGGAGGCTGAGGCAGGAGAATTGCTTGAACCCAGAAGGTGGAGGTTGTGGTGAGCCGAGATCGTGCCATTGCACTCCAACCTGGGTAACAAGAGCAAAACTCCGTCTCAAAAAAAAAAAAAAAAAGTAACAACTGGTGAGGTGCAGTGGCTCACACCTGTAATCCCAGCACTTTGGGAGGCCAAGATGGGTGGATCATAAGGTCAGGAATTCAAGACCAGCCTGGCCAAGATGACAAAACCCCATCTCTACTAAAAATATGAAAAAATTAGCTGGTCATGGTGGTGGGCGCCTGTAATCCCAGCTACTCAGGAGGCTGAGGCAGATAATTGCTTGAACCTGAGAGGCAGAGGTTGCAGTGAGCTGAGATCATGCCATTGCACTCCAGCCTGGACCACAAGAGTGAGACTCCACTCAAAAAAAAAGAGTAACAATTAATCACAGTATCAGCAGTACCTGTGACTTAATTGCCAATGGAAGCCATAGATGTTTTCATTCCCATCAGAGTTCTTGCAGAAATCTCGAAATACTGTTTGTGTTTATCAGTATTTTGAAATTACAGGTTATTAGGCTGGGCACGGTGGCTCACACCTGTAATTCCAGCACTTTGGGAGGTCAAGGTGGGTGGATCACCTGAGGTCGGGGTTCAAAACCAGCCTGGCCAACATGGTGAAACCCCACCTCTACAAAAATTACAAAAATTAGCTGGGCGTGGTGGCATACACCTGTAGTTCCAGCTACTTGGGAGGTTGAGGCAGGAGAATCGTTTAAACCTGGGAGGCAGAGGTTTGCTGTGAGCCGAGATCATGCCATTGCACTCCAGCCTGGATAACAAGAGTAAAACTCTGCCTCAAAAAAAAAAAAAAGAAAAAAATTTATGTTACTGTGCCACAAATGTGATTATCTGTTAATAACTATATTTCAATACAATGATTGTTTTTTGCAATCCTACGTGTTCTAGTTTATGTGTATATTTTAAAACATTATTCTGGAAAGGGGTCCATTAGACTTCACTAGAGTGCCAGAGAGATTCATGGTACAAAAGAGTTAAGTCCTTTCATAGTCAAGTCCTACAAAGTGAAGATACTATTCCTCCTCTCTGGGTGTGTAAAGATGTGTGTGTGTGTGTGTGTGTGTGTGGTCCACACACTGGTCTAATTTCATAAATCATACGAGAGAACTCTGTGTGTCAGGTGACAAGAGTAGAGTCACCTACAGGCTCAGGAGGAGGGACAGTGAAGGAAGTTTGCTCAGAGAATTTACCATCTGCTTTATAAAACCTTATAGTTTATCAACATTTATTTAACATATATTTGGGTGCTCTTCTGTAGTAGGCATTTTCCTTAGGCATTGGACAAGCTGCAGTGAACAAAAAGGGCAGAAACCATGTCCTTGAGGGGTCAATTCCTAGTGGGGCTCGGTGGCTTTCCTATTCCTCCATGAAGCCTTCTCTGATTAGTCATGTTCTGTACTCATGGAAACATCCTGTAATATAAGTATAGGTGATGGCTAGGCGTGGTGGCTCACACCTGTAATCCCAGCACTTTGGTAGGCCAAGGTGGGCTGGTCACCTGAGGTCAGGAGTTCAAGACCAGCCTGACCAACATGGAGAAACCCCATTTCTACTAAAAATACAAAATCAGCCAAGTGTGATGGCACATGCCTGTAATCCCAGCTACTCAGGAGGCTAAGGCAGGAGAATCGACTGAACCCGGGAGGCGGGGGTTGTAGTGAGCCAAGATCATGCCGTTGCACTCCAACCTGAGCAACAGAAGCAACTGAGTCTCAAAAAAAAAAAAACAGGCGGCGGGGGGGGCAGGCGTGGTGGCGCACACTTGTAATCCCAACACTTTGGGAGGCCAAGACGGGTGGATTATGTAAGGTCAGGAGTTTGAGACCAACCTGGCCAACATGCTGAAACCCTGTCTCTAGTAAAAATACAAAAATTAGCAGGGCGTGGAGGCAGGCGCCTGTAATCCCAGCTACTGGGTGGGTGGGGGGTGGTTGAAGCGAAGAATTGCTTGAACCCAGGAGGGGGAGGTTGCAGTGAGCTGAGATGGCGCCACTGCACTCCAGCCTGGGTGACAGAGCAAAACTCCATTAAAAAAAAAAGTACAGGTGATATAGTTGTGTCTTATTTTTCTGTTTATGTTTCACCTCCCCAACCAGACATCGGTTTATGTGTAAACAATCTATTTACCTCTTTTTTGTAATTCCTCAAATGAGAAATAATACGCATAAGGAGTCAGCAGAATAAGAAAACATTTTTGTAAAGCAGTTAGGATAATGCCTGGCCCATAAAAACAGTACATGACTATTTTTTATTATGATTTTACCAATCCTAAATGCAAATGGATTCTTATTTAAAGAAACAAAAGAGAGAAAAGGACCCAACTAAGACCCAGGTGTCCTTGTTCCCCTAGGTGACTGGAACTGGAATGAAATACCCAGTTGACCTGGGAGGGCCTGGATATGCCAGAACTTACCAAAAGTCCGGTGGAGATTCTCTGAAAGAGAAACAAATGGAAAGGGATTTAGTAGGGCATTCAAAAAAGGATCCTTTATTCTGAGTCTTTGTTATTTAATTACTTAAAACTTGTTCTAGGCCGGACACATCCACCATAGAGAAAGGGAAACTGAGGGAAGAACAGGATCTCGAGAGGCAGAGACAGTCTGAGAATGTGACCATTTCCGTTGTGCCAAAAAACAAAACAAAACACAAGAATTGGGAAAAAGGATGAGTGGAACTCACCTATCTCTGCTCGAAGTTTTCCTAAAATAGGAAAAGGCAACATTTTAGTTCCTGCCTGCTCTGGCTTTTGGTGGGGACCCTCCCACCCCCAGCACCTGGGCCCCTCATACAGGCTATTTCTCTGCAGCGGGAAAGCAACCTTAAAGAGTGTGAGAAGAGCACTGGATTTGAAGCCAAGGGTTGCCGCTCTTTCTCTAGCTAGAGTCTAGATTCAATAGGTGAATAAAGAATGTGAACAATTTCCAAAAGCAACACAAGGATCTACTACCTCCCAGCTGCTCTTTGCAAGTTTTCTTGGATTCTAAGTTCACAGTGCTGCTCAAGCCCACTGGGTTGCCACTTTGTTGATCTAAAGCCACTTCCCATCTGAATGAGGAAGGAGGAGCTGAACACTTAGTGAGTAGCTAGCTACTTTGTGACTGGATTTGTAGTATGCACTTTACATGACTTTAATCCTTTTTACAATTTAGGAGGGAGGATGTGTTCTCTATTTGGCAGACAAGGCAACTGAGGCTTGGAGAATCTAAGAATTTTGCCATAGTGTGGTACCCGAGATGGAATTCAAACCCAGGCTACCTAACTCTAACATTCAGATTCTTTATGCTCAGCCAGGTGGGCTGAAAGCCTTTTTCATGTGGAAGAAATAGACAAGCAAGCATCTGGGATGAATTCAAGGAGAGAGAAAGGACTCCATTGATGATCTCACCACCAATACCCATCCCCCAGAAACATTCCCCATACCCTCCTTGCTACTTTCTCCTCTCCTCTTAGTAACAAATAGGAGGTGGTGCGCCGGGAGGAATAAAGACTTCCTGCTTTGGCACTGGGGAAACACTTTGTAGGGAGAGAAGGTTCCGACTGAAAGCTCTAGGCACAAAAGAGGAACCTCATCAACAGCTGAACCTAAATCCTCAGTGCTGAATGGAGAAGGAGGAAACAACTTTTCAACTACTACTGTGTGGTAGGGACTTTCACTTCAGTATCTTTATTTAACACTTCTTTTTATTTCTTTTTTCTTTTTGAGATGGAGTCTCACTCTGTTGCCCAGGCTGGAGTCTAGTGGCTTGATCTCGACTCACTGCAACCTCTGCCTCCTGGTTTCAAGCGGTTCTCCTGTCTCAGCCTCCCATAACTGGGACTACAGGCGCCCACCACCACGCCGAGCTAATTTTTGTATTTTTAGTTGAGATGGGGTTGCATCATATTGGTCAGGCTGGTCTCTAACTCCTGACCTTGTGATTCACCCACCTAGGCCTCCCAAAGTGCTGGGATTACAGGCATGAGCCACCACGCCCGGCCTATTTAACACTCCTAATAGCCTAGACCTGTCTAACTTTGAAGCTCACACTCTCCCAAGTTGCATGGAGCTGCCAGGTATGATACAGAGGCCTCAGCTCTACCACTTATAAGCTATATCAGTTGCAGTAAGTCACTGAACTAATCCTGGCCTCAGTTGCATTCTTTGTAAAATGGGGTTGCTATATACCATACTTAGCTCATAGGGAAATGCTAGGTTCTTTCATTCATATTAAAACCTTCAGTGAGCTGTTAAACGCTTTTTCATCATGGAGTTATTATTTTTTTCTTTATCATTCAATAATGAGAAGAAGTTCTGAACCCAGAAGTCACTCACAAATACATGTTAAGTGGTGTCGCTCCAAGAAGCCAGCTCATTAAATGATCCTGACCCACCCACCCTCTGCCCCCTGTACCTCTCAGTCTATGCTGCAGGTAGAGGAAGACGAGGCCCACAGTGATCTGCAGGAAGAGCACAGGGAGCACTGCGAGAAGAACCAGCACTCCAGGGCTGACCCAGTAGAAGGGATCTGAAAGGCAAGACTGACATTGCCGAGAGCTGAATCCTCAACACCCAGCACGGTGCCTGGGGCCCAGTAAATCAAGTCGAATAAAGAAATGAATATTGGCAGCAAATCACACTGCCACGTATGTACCTATGCAACTATCTTGCATGTTCTGCACATGTACCCCAAAACCTAAAATGCAAAAAATAAATAAATAAATAAATATAAAGAAAAAAGAAAAACAAACAAACAAAAAAAGAAATGAATACCAGGATTCAGAGAAGGTGACACAGAATTGACCCCTGAGCTTAGCCTTGAAGGAAAAGTGGGTTTGTTTCTGGGAAATGCTAGTGGTTTAAAGTTAGGATTGTGTATTGGGTCAGGCAATGTGGGGTGGGAGAGGCGGTTTAAGGAGCAGGTAAGGGACTTAGATCTGGTCCTCAAGGCCATGGGGGTGCACTGAAGGATTGCAAGCTGAGAAGTGACCACATCAGATTTAGCACTTACAGTGCTGGAGAAGATAGGGAGATCTGTTAAGAGACTGTAATAATGGCCAGGCACAGTGACTCACACCTGCAATTCCAGCACTTTGGGAGGCTGAGGTGGGCAGATCACCTGAGGTCAGGAGTTCGAGACCAGCCTGGCCAACATGGTGAAACCCCATCTCTAATAAACAAATAAAAAATTAGCCTAGTGTGGTGGCACACACCTGTAATCCCAGCTACTAGGGAGGCTGAGGCGGGAGAATCGCTTGAACCCGGGAGGCAGAGGTTGCAGTGAGCCGAGATCACACCACCGCACTCCAGCCTGGATGATATAGTGCGACTTTGTCTCAAAAAAAAAAAAAGTCAGGGGATTCAAAGCTTAAATAGGGGATAAAAATGGATTTTTATTTTCAATAACCTTTAAACTGAAATTTAGTGTTTATTTTAATTATGTCTGCAGGCAACACACCACAATAATATGAACAGAACCTTTGATTTTGTCGTCAATAAAAATGACAAGTATTTTCTTTTTCTTTCTTTCCTATTTTTTTTCTTTTCTTTTCTTTCTTTTTTTTTGAGGCAGAGTCTTGCTCTGTCACCCAGGCTGGAGTACAGTGGCATGATCTCGGTTCACTGCAACCTCTGCCTCCCAGATTCAAGTGATTCTCCTGTCTCAGCCTCCTGAGTATCTGGGATTACAGGCGCATGCCACCACACCAGGCTAAATTCTGTATTTTTAGTAGAGACAGGGTTTCACCACATTGACCAGGCTGTTCTCGAACTCCTGACCTCGTGATCCTCCTGCCTCAGCCCCCCAAAGTGCTGGGATTACAAGGTTGAGCCACTATGCCTGGCCTTCTATCACATTTCTTTTTTTTTTTTTTGAGACGGAGTTTCGCTCTTGTTACCCAGGCTGGAGTGCAATGGCGCGATCTCGGCTCACCGCAATCTCCGCCTCCTGGGTTCAGGCAATTCTCCTGCCTCAGCCTCCCGAGCAGCTGGGATTACAGGCATGCACCACCGTGCCCAGCTAATTTTTTTTGTAATTTTAGTAGAGACGGGGTTTCACCATGTTGACCAAGATGGTCTCGATCTGTTGACCTCGTGATCCACCCGCCTCGGCCTCCCAAAGTGCTGGGATTACAGGCTTGAGCCACCGCGCCCGGCCCCTTCTATCACATTTCTAATGTGATATGAAAACATTTGTGATTTTTGGCTGGGCAAGGTGGCTCACACCTGTAATCCCAGCACTTTGGGAGGCTGAGGCAGGTAGATCACCTGGGGTCAAGAGTTTGAGACCAGCTTGACCAACGTGGCAAAAGCCTGTCTTTGCTAAAAATACAAAAATTAGCTGGGTGCGGTGGCAGATGCCTGTAATCCCAGCTATTCAGGAGGCTGAGGCAAGATAATTGCTTGAACCCGGGAGGCAGAGGTTGCAGTGAGCCGAGACTGCACCATTGCACTCTACTCTAGGCGACAGAGACAGACTCCAGCTAAAACAAACAAACAAACTACAAAAAAAGATAAGTCACAGAAATCTCAAACTATCACTTATGTTCATTACTATTTTGAAATTACACGAATTACTAGGACCACCCTAGCTCTTGTTAATTTGATATTTTGATACCTGTATTTTGGAATAATTTTTTTTTTTTGTTTTATCGTTTGTTTTTGTTTTGTTTTTTAAAGACGGGGTTTCACCATGTTGGTCAGGCTGGTCTTGAACTCCCGTCCTCAGATGATCCGCCCGCCTTGGCCTCCAAAGTGTTTGGATCACAGGCGTGAGCCACCACACCCAGCCAATAAATTTTTTATTTTATGTATTTAAAATATTCTTCTGGCTAGGTGTGGTGGCTAATGCCTGTGATCCCACCACCTTGGAAGGCCAAGGCAAGAAGACTGCTTGAGCTCAGGCGTTCTTGAGACCAGCTTGGGCAACATAGTGAGACCCTTCCACTACAAAAAAATTTAAAAAATAGCTGGGCATGGTGGCACAAGCCTGTGGTCTCAGCTATTCAAGAGGCTGAGTCAAGAAAATCACTTAAGCCTGGGAGGTGGAGGCTGCAATGAGCCATGATCATGTCACCGCACCCCATCCTGGGTGACAGAATGACACCCTGTGTCAAAAAAAAAAAAGTCGGGCGTGGTGGCTCACACCTATAATCCCAGATTTTGGGAGGCTGAGGTGGCCAGATTACCTGAGGTCAAGAGTTTGAAACCAACCTGACCAACATGGAGAAACCCTACCTCTACTAAAAATAGAAAATTAGCCGGGTATGGTGGCACATGTCTGTCTACAATCCCAGCTACTCTGGAGACTGAGGCAGGAGAATCGCTTGAACTTGGAAGGTGGAGGTTGTGGTGAGCCGAGATCGCACCATTGCACTCCAGCCTGAGCAACAAGAGGGAAACTCCACCTCAAAAAAAAAAGAAAAAAAGGTAGTTTACACAGGAGAATTCAGTAAGTGACCATATGTGCAGATGTGGAGTAGGTGTGGAGCAGGTGTGGAGTAGGTGTGGAGCAGGTGTGGAGTAGATATGGAGTAGGTTGGGCAATGAGGGAGGGAGGACCTTCACTTCTGTGGCTCCCATCTATTTCCCATGCTAGGTCTGCTCCACAGCATTCAAAAGCTCCGCTCTAAACTCAATGTGCCATGCTGCAGCTGAAGGCCTTTTCATCTTGATCTCTGTTTTAAGGGAGCTAAGTAAGGATATTGCCATCCAAAGTAGGGATATGTCACAGCTAGTAACGTTAAACTCCTCGTCCAGGGCAGTTGCTTAGGTATAATTACAGTCCGTCAAGCTGTAGACTAAGGCTCCTGTCTATCATCATGTTCCCTAGAGGAAAATGCAGCAGACTTTACTTTCGAGATCTTAATGGAAGTTACCTGTAGCAATGTGATTTAGGGAAAGTTTTTCTCCCTCCCCCAACACGCATTTTTACTTTTACAAATAATTAGAAAAAAGAGAAAAGCAGACATTATTAACCTCCAGATATAAAGAAACAAGCAGTATAGAGCATCACTGATTAACTATACTTGCCAAAGTAAATCAAACCCGAATGTCATTGCACCTCCACATCTATCAGTTTACAGGAAAATACAGGCATGGAGGACCCTGTTACATAGCAAGATGGGAATCCTGTCAGCAAAATTCAGACCATGGGAAACCCTAAGGGCAAACGTCAACAGATAGGTCTTGTTTGAATCTTGATAAAAGAAACCAACTGTAAGGATGTATTTATGAAACAATCAGGAAAATTTGAACAAAAACTAGGTATTTGATGATATTAATAAAATTTTGTTGAGTTTTTAAGATGTGATAACAGTATTGTGGTTATTTATTTTAAACTGTTCTTGGCTGGGTGCAGTGGCTCACGCTTGTAATTCTAGCACTTTGGGAGGCTGAGGTGGGAGAACTGCTTGAGCCTAGGAGTTTGAGACCACCCTAAGCAACACGGCAAAACCAAGTCTCTACAAAAAATACAGAACATTAGCAGCCTGAGGTAGTATGTCCCTGCGGTCCCGGCTACTTGATAGGCTGAGGTGGGAGGAGGGTTTGGGCCGGGGAGGCAGAGGCCACAGTGAGCGGAGATCATGCCACTATGCCTCAGCCTGGGTGACAGAGCCAGACCCTGTCTCAAAATAAATAAATAAAAAGAAAAAACAAAAACAACAAATGATTATGCTGCCTAGGATTTACCTCAGTAATTGAGCAGGAAAGGGTGGTAATGAGTGGGGAGCCAGTGAAGTGGGTGGTCCCTATTGACAAGTGCTGCAGCAAGATTGCAGGCACTTGGAGGCTCATTATAACATTCTACTTGGAATTTTTTTTTTTTTTTTTTTTTTTTTTTTTTTTGCGATGGAGTCTCTCTTTATTGCCCAGGCTGGAGTACAGTGGCCTGATCTCGGATCACTTCCACTTCTGCCTCCTGGGTTCAAGCAATTCTCCTGCATCAGTCTCCGGAGTAGCTGGGACTACAGGCGGCTAATTTTTGTATTTTTAGTAGAGATGGGATTTCACCATGTTGGCCAGACTAATCTTGCACTCCTGACCTCATGATCCACCCGCCTCGGCCTCCCAAAGTGCTGGGATTACAGCCAGGAGCCACCACGCCCGGCCTGCTTTGTATATTTTTAAGTTTCATAATAAAGAGTTTAAAGAAAGGATTAGAGACAACTAGTAATAAAATCACAAAAATGACAGGAAAAAAAATAAGTCAAAAAGAGATTAAAAACTCTTCAGAGAGGCTGGGCGCGGTGGCTCATGCCTATAATCCCAGCACTTTGGGAGGCCGAGGCGGGTGGATCACGAGGTCAAGAGATCGAGACCATCCTGGTCAACAAGGTGAAAACCCCGTCTCTACTAAAAATACAAAAATGAGCTGGGCATGGTGGTGTGCGCCTGTAGTCCCAGCTACTCAGGAGGCTGAGTCAGGAGAATTGCTTGAACCCAGAAGGTGGAGGTTGCGGTGAGCCGAGATCGTGCCATTGCACTCCAGTCTGGGTAACGATAGCGAAACTCCGTCTCAAAAAAAAAAGAAAGAAAGAAAGAAACACTTCAGAGAAAGAGCAGAGGTAGGGTCGGGGTTTTGTACTTAGCAGAGCAGCTCCCTCGCTGCGATCTATTTAAAGTCAGCCCTCGACACAAGGGGGTATGAAAAAAAAAAAGCTGCGGTAATTATACCTGACACTCCTAATAATAGTTACTTCATCTCATTCCTAAATTTGTCTCAACTTCCTGGCTCCCAAGCCTAGGCAACAGGTCCTTGTTTACTTGTAAAACAGTTTCTTTGTAGCTTCTTAGACATGCAGACTAAGAGGTGGGAAGAGGAGGTTGGAATGCGGATACCAACCCGAAAGACAACTTTCCCCCCTGAGGCAGTCTTTAGATGTTCTTCATTTTGTCTTTCTTTTCTGGTGTGATGAAACTGAGGGTGCTTGTTGGGAGAGGCAGTGCACTAAGAAGTTGTTGAGCAGAAAGGAGGACAATGGGCAGACTGGAGCGGCTCTCACTGTCGGACTTTTTGACAGGTAGAAATTCCCCAGTAAAAACAGTTGTGTGAAGAACATTCTGAGACACACACAACCATTTCCATATCCCTGCGGTCAGTCTCTAGAAATAGTGCTTTGTTGTTCTGCATACAATGCGGTCTTCTGGTACCCCACTGGAATGCTCACTCTCACCCCCAAGATACAAAAGTGATCAATTGTCTGATGTTTGCACTGCAGGTGGGGAGGAGGAAAGGGGAAAGGATCTGTTGCCCAGGCCCTCAGAGCAGTTTAGTTCTTTAATTAAATAACAATTAACTTTCTTTCTTTTATTTTTTCTTTTCTCTTTTATTTCTTTTTTTTTTTTTTTTTTTTTTTTGTTTTGAAATGGAGCTTTGCTCTGTAGCCCAGGCTGGAGAGCAGTGGCACGATCTTGGCTCACGGTAACCTCCGCCCCCTGGATCCTGGTTCAAGCAATTCTCCTGTCTCAGCCGCCTTAGCAGCTGGGATTAAAGGCATGCGTCACCATCCCCGGTTAATTTTTATATTTTAGTAGGGACGGGGTTTCACCATATTGGCCAGGCTGGTCTTGAACTCCTGACCTCATGATCCGCCCATCTCAGCCTCCCAAAGTGCTGGGATTACAGGAGTGAGCCGCCACACCCAGCCTAACGATTAACTTTCAGAGTTCCCCCTCCATTGGCTTCACTTTGTCCACATCTTAATCCGGAGATACAGCAAAAAATAAAATCATCCATCACACAAAACATGTTGAAAATGAAATTCTGAGGCCAGGCACGGTGCTTATGCCTGTAATCCGAGCTCTTTGGGAGGCTGAGGTGGGTGGCTGGCTAACGTGGTGAAACCCCGTCTCTACTAAAAATAGAAAAATCAGCTAGGCATGGTGCCAGGCACCTTTACAGGCTCCCAGCTACTTGGGAGGCTGAGGCAGGATAATCATCTGAACCGGGGAGGCGAAGTTTGCGGTGAGCTGAGATCGTGCCATTACACTCCAGGCTGGGTGACAGAGCGAGACTCTGTCTCATAAAAAAGAAAAAAAAAAAAGGAAAAAGAAAAGAAAAAGAAACTGAAATTGTGCAGAATGAAAGTAGTGGAGGTACAGCCTAAAGGTGAAATCTCCTTCTTTTTATAGTCATATTTAGATATTTGCTTTATTTACTAGGACCACGCACGCCCATATGTGCATGCACGCGTGCGTGTGTGTGTGTGTCTGTACTCACAAATAATACAGTTTAGTTTTTTTTTTTGAGATGGAGTTTTGCTGCTGTTACCCAGACTGGAATGCAACGGCACGATCTCGGCTCATCGCAACCTCCGCCTCCTGGGTTCAGGCAATTCTCCTGCCTCAGCCTCCTGAGTAGCTGGGATTACAGGCACGCGCCACCATGCCCAGCTAATTTTTTTGTATTTTTAGTAGAGACGGGGTTTCACCTTGTTGACCAGGATGGTCTGGATCTCTTGACCTCATGATCCACCCGCCTTGGCCTCCGAAAGTGCTGGGATTACAGGCGTGAGCCACCGCGCCCGCCCAAGAATCTTTTTATTTTTATTTTTTTTAAGACGGGGTTTCACCATGTTGGTCAAGCTGGTCTTGAACTCCCAACCTCAGGTGATCCACCAGCCTTGACCTCCAAAGTGTTTGGATTATAGGCATGAGCCACCAGGTGTGAGCCACCACGCCTGGCCTAAAAGAATCTTTTTAATGCCTGCATAATATTCACAGTATGAATATCATTATGTATTCAGTCACTTACCTAGTCAAAGGCATTGACTTTGATCCTAATATCCTTGTTATTCTGAATAATGATGCAACAGACATCCCTAAGCATATGAGTTTCTGTTTATTGATGAAGACTTTTCTGTGGAATTCATTCCCAGGAGTGAGATGGTTGGGTTGAGGGATACCATCTCAGTTGAAAGAATAACTGTTCCTGGCCACCCGACAGTTAATACCTAATATTAATATTATATGGCACTACTCACCTTCCACTTTCAATTGCATTGCGGCCTCCTCTTGGTAAGAATGATCTCGGAAGAAGCAGGTGAAACCTCCTTCATCTGGGAATCTTACATTCCGGATCTTGAGAGTCACCTTTCCCTCACCAATATCGTCTTTCAGCAGCTCTGTTCGACCCCGATATTCAGGTGCCTGCTCTCCATCTTGATCCTTGCCATTTCTGTAGAGATGAACCACCCTAGAGAAGGGGGAGCGGTACCACCCCACCTCCATGCCTGTAGCATTCTTCCCAGGAGATATGCGACATGGCAATTCTGCTGCATCCCCGACCAGAGCCTGGATGGGGTGACTTGGTCCTATCACTCTGAACTGCCCTGTTCAAGACACCAAAAGGAAGAGACTAAAGGTCACAGCGAACCTTGACAAGCAAGCCTGTCTTGGGAAGGGCTGGTTCAAAACAGGGAAGAAAGAATACACTCAACTTTTAAAGGAATTTTAGGGTCAGGGAGGAATGCAACTTTTCTTTTCTTCTTTCTTTTTTTCTTTCTTTATTATTATCATTTTTTTGAGACAGAGTCTTACTCTGTTGCCCAGGCTGGAGTGCAGTGGCTCGATCTCGGCTCACTGCAACCTCTGCCTCCCAGGTTCCAGCAGTTCTCCTGTCTCAGCCTTCCAAGTAGCTGGGATTACAGGTGCGTGCCAACACACCCGGGTAATTTTTGTATTTATAGTAAAGATGAGGTTTCACCCTGTTGGCCAGGCTGGTTTTGAACTCCTGATCTTAGGTGATCCATCTGCATTGGCCTCCCAAAGCGCTGGGATTATAAGCGTGAGCCACCACATCGGCCCCAATTTTTCTTTTTGAGGAAAGAAAAAAAGTCACTGGTTATAGAGATACTGTGAGTGTACTGGACAGAACATTCTAGCAATCATCTCATCTCAGCATCTGCCCATCTTTTTGCCAACTCTAACTCTTTAGTCCAGCCTTTAGGTTCCCTCTTGGAATGTGGTTCAACAAGGTTTAATTATCCCATGGGTGTCCCGGTTATGACTTGACCAAATTGCTGCCTATTCTACCCTTAGAGGTTTTGCTTTTGTCACTCCATCTGCTTTTAATTGTCTCTCACTACTTCTAATCATTCAGTCCTTGTTCATACCATTTCCCAGATTCTCCTTTGAGATCTCGCACACTGGGGATGGCTCTGTTTCACTCTTCCTTCCCCTGTATCTTCCATCTCACTGCAGCTCCTGGACCCTGTCCCAAACAAGTTTCATGTTTTTTCTATGTGGACATGTTTTGCAGGTCAGACTCCAAGCTACTAAGAAATAAGGCTGCTTTCTCCCCTAGACCTGGAGACTGGATGCATGGGACCTCTGTCAGTCAGGTGGCTCCTGGAGGATGGGAATATTTCTGTTTATTTCTCCTTTATGAAAACTTACTGGCCAGGTGCGGTGGTTCACGCCTATAATCCCAGCACTTTGGGAGGCCAAGGCGGGTGGATCACAAGGTCAAGAGATTGAGACCATTCTGGTCAACAAGGTGAAACCCCATCTCTACTAAAAATACAAAAATTAGCTGGGCATGGTGGTGCGCGCCTGTAGTCCCAGCTACTCAGGAGGCTGAGGCAGAGAGAATTGCCTGAACCCAGGAGGCGGAGGTTGTGGTGAGCCGAGATCGTGCCATTGCACTCCAGTCTGGGTAACAACAGCCAAACTCCATCTCAAAAAAAAAAAAAAGAAAGAAAACTTACTAGTACCTGATTATGCAGAGCAAACCCTCAAACATGACAAGATATTAGAATTCCACAAACATTTATTGAGATTTACTGTGGATAGGCACTGCTAAGCATGTTACATGTCTCATCTTGTGTAATCCTGATGAGAACTCCAAGAGGTTGTGATTATTTTATCTCAGTTTGAGAGGTGAAAAGACAAAGCTGGAAAGACAGGTAAGAACTAGTTCAAAGAACGACTTGAGTTAGTCACATTAAAGAGTCTGGGCCAGACGCGGTGGCTCACGCCTGTAATCCCAGCACTTTGGGAGTCTGAGGAAGGCTGATCACTTGAAGTCAGGAGTTTGAGACTAGTCTGGTCAACATGGTGAAACCCCATGACTGCTAAAAATACAAAAATTAGCCAGGGGTGGTGGCAGGCATCTGTAATCCCAGCTACTCGGGAGGCTGAGGCAGGAGAATTACTTGAACTCAGGAGGCAGAGGTTGCAGTGAGTTGAGTTAGAACCACTACACTCCAGCGTGGGCAAAAGAGGGAGACTCCGTCTCAAAAAAAAAGAGTCTGGACTCAGTCGTGAAGGCTGTAAGAACCCACAGAAGGTTTCTGAGGAACGGAGCCATGTCAGCAGGTCTATGCTTCAGAAAGATAATATAGCAACTTGAGGATGATTGAAGGAGTTAAGCCCCATGAAAATAGTCTTTCTGTTCTCAGGGTCTCCCCAGGGCAGGAAAACACATGTCTTACCTCCGTAGCTGGAAGACACATGGAGGAGGAGCAGGAGGAAGCAGAGGTAGCTGGGCAGGGAGGGTTTCGATAAGCTTGCCATCTCCACTGTGCCTGGGGACAGAGAGCCCCCACTGCAGGGTCAGGCCAAGCGGAGGCCCTTGGGGTGCATGTCCCCTTACTACTGAAAAGCCCGATGGAAGATCTGGGAGGGCAGTGTGCCTGGGCCCTGCCTCCACTCTGGTCAGTGATGCAGCTGTGCCTGTAGGAACAGCCCCACGTCACCCTTGCCAGGCACTCACACAAAAGGGCTACAGACTGACGGGATGACCAGGGTCTGCCTTCCCCATCCCCTCAGAGCAATGGAGCAGAGGCTGCCTGGTACTGGGCTTTCCTCCCCCACTCCTTCCTGGAGATCCAGCCTCTGAAGGGTTTTCTAGGGCCTAATCAGTGGGGAAGGATCACTTACAGGACCTTAGGAAGAGGCTTGTTCATGAAACATGCAAGATTCCTCCAATCCACCCAGCCCTACCAAATAATCAAAAGGGAGGAATTTTACTGATTCTTAAAAAAGGAAATAAAACTTAGATTTTTATTCCTATTTCTATTGTCTCACAACTGTCATCACCAGACCATTCTTCTTGATGTCTAACCTCCCTTTTTCCTACTGCAAATCCCAACTCCCTTCAGTATGTTTGTATATGTTTTGGATCACTTGGGATTTGTTAGTTTCTTGTCTCCAAAGCATGTTTTTAGGAAAGTTGTGAGTTGAGTGTCGGAGTGCTCAGAGAGGCAAGGGTAGAGGAAGGGAGACCAGCAGGGACAGCAAGTAACTGTGTCAGTCAACGTAGGCAGCAGGGACAGAACCAGGATATAGGACATGCTCTCCAGCCTTTGCATCGCTTGCCAGTTTCCTCAGTGTCCCGGGGGAGAGTGAGATCTGGAATGGAGAAGGACCTTTCTCTCACCTTTGGGCTCAGCTGAGAACTGCAAGGGTGAAACCAGCATTGGTACTGGATTCCAAAAATACACTTCTTCAAAAATAATCTTAAGGCAAGTGTGCTTCATCAAATAAGAAAAAAGACTCAATTTAGAGCCATGCTGTCCAATGCAGCAATCACTACCTGCAAATGGCCACTTAAAATTAATTACAATTAAATAAAATTTAAAATTTGGTTCCGTGATTACGCTAGCCATCTTTCAAATGCTCAATAACACTACAGCTACTGGTTATCTCATCAGACAATACAAATATAGAACATTTCCATCATCACAAAAAATTATATTGGGCAACCCAAAAATTTATGTTGGGCAGCAAGAGGTAGAAACACAGCTGAGACATGCATTTCTGCTCTTGTCCGAGATAGGCATAAGAAGTTAGAAGGACAGATTCTGGTCAGGTGAGTTTGGGAACTACTTATTCTTTCACCTGCAAGGAAGCTAGCATTTTGGCACAAGCAATATTTGGCTACTCTGGTGCCGTATGGTTGAAAGTCAAGATTGGTGGGGTGAATCCGGTGAAAAAAGTGGCCGCTGTGGATCCCTGGCTTTTTACCAAGTGGGGATTTTCTCCTTCAAAAACCTAAAATGTCCTGGGATGCTCTTTCTCCCTGACACATATTCAGGTAGAAGAATTATGCACAAGATGCTTGTAGGCAGGGTTTGGGGGCATTAGGGTGTGTGTAATTGTCTAGCACCAAGCAAGCCGTCAAAGCTGGATGGGAGATCAGAATGAAGATGGAGGCATGTGGGAACAGAGAGGGTCAGGAGCCAGCCGGTCACAGCCCCTTTGGAGAAATCATAGCATCTCTGAAAACAACGATAAAAAAACTAATCACCTTACTGAGATCTTCTATGTGTCACAGTTCTAAGGGGTTTACTTACATAAATACCTTTAATCCTCACAATAACAAAAAAAAAATTAAAGTATTATCCCTCATGTCTTACAGATGAGAAGGTAAAAGAGGTAAAAGAACTTAATAAAGTCACACCACTGGGGAGTGGCGGAGCTGGGATTTCAAGCCAGGCTTTCTAGTCCTAGAACTGGCTCTTGTAACCACCACAATACAAGGCCTCTGATGAGCTCAACTTATTTACTTCCATGCCCTCAACTGCCTCAAATCTCCTGAAATGGGAGGATTCCTGGAGCTGTGAGAGCAGTCATTTGGCTGACATGGTCTTTGGGCAAAGGTGATGTGTCCAAGAAGTGAATCCACCCTGTATCACCGTGGGCTGCTCATTTCTTTCAGCACTTACATGTTATTTATTTATTTGTTTTTTTGAAATGGAGTCTTGCTCTGTCGCCCAGGCTGAGGAGCAGTGGGGCAGTCTTGACTCACTGCAACCTCTGCCTCCTGGGTTCAAGTGATTCTCCTGCCTCAGCTTCCCCATTAGCTGGGACTACAGGTGCGTGCCACCATGCCAGCTAATTTTTGTATTTTTAGTAGGTATGGGGTTTCACCATATTGGTCAGGCTAGTCTTGAACTCCTGATCTCGTGATCCGCCCACCTTGGCTTCCCAAAGCACTGGGATTACAGGTGTGAGCTATGGTGCTCAGCCTTTAAATGTTATTTTAATTGATTTTGTATAGCATATGTTATGTGATCTTGCAAGTATTCTTTTTTCTTTTTCTTTTGAGACAGTGTCTCTCTCTGTCACATAGGCTGGAGAGCAGGGGCATGATCAGGGCCCACTGCAGCCTTGATCTCCCAGGTTCAAGCGATCTTTATGCCTCAACCTCTCAAGTAGCTAAAACTACAGGTATGTGCCACCATGCCTTGCTAAATTGAAACTTTTTCTTTCCTTTTTTTAGAGATGGGGTCTTGCTGTGTTGCACAGGCTGGTCTCAAACTCCTGGACTCAAGTGATCCTCCCATCTCAGCCTCCTGAAGTGTTTGGATTATAGGCTGAGCCACACCCAGCTCAGTTTACCTCTAGTGTTGCTGTTCTCAATAATTTCAACTTAATCTGAAATCTGCATCTCTCACCATGTCCAGTGACAGACCATGTACACAGTAATATATTCAAAATGACACACTGAATACAATGAAAGTGGGTGGTAATTTTTAAAATATGCTGCCATATGTGAAATAGTAAGCGCTCAATAAATGGTAGCTTTCCTACATAGAAAACCAGCAACAGTACTGTATAAGCTTTTCCAGATAATGTGTAAAATATATATCTTTGCATTATTTATCTGTTATCAGAAGTGATAATAGACACATTCTCTAATTTCTATTGTCCACTTAATGCATAATTCCACATTAATATATAACATAGCTTTTTTGTACTTTTGAAAATTGATTCTTAGCTGGGCATGCTGACATGGGCCTGTTGAGCCCAGGAGAGAGAGGCTGCAGTGAACTTTCATTGTGCCACTGCACTCCAGCCTGTGCGACAGAGTGAGACCGTATCTCAAAAAAATTAAAACAATAAAAATTGATTCTTATAAAGTAGCATACTTTGAAAATCTCAGGCATTCAAAGCCAATCTGTATTTTCTCTAAATCCTTCCATATTTGTATATATGCCACTAGAGGGCGATCCACAAAAGTCACTGCCTGTGAGGACTGAAGGTAGCACTCACACATCCTTCCTTCTCCCTCCTCCCACCTGTTTTACGTAAATGGTAACAATTTATCTTGAAATTTTTTCCTTATTAGTACCTAAATAAAACCCGTTATTTTTATACAGCTTACAATATTTTATTGCACGAATATAATATCGTTAAGTAGCTTCCCAAGACATTTAGGCTGTTTCAGTTTTTTGAATATCTATTTTTACTAGGTTGAAGCGAAATGTACTCAATTAATTTAAATCAATACATATTTAAATGCAAATGCTATGTGTCATACTTTATATTAGGCCCTGATTATAAAAGATGGATTCTTGCCTTCATGAGTTATATATTCTAGTTGTATTGCAGTTATATTCCAGTTACCTAAAGGCACAAATTGATAAATGTGAGGGCATCATTTTCAACCTTTTCACTTTTACATGTAATTTAGCAATGAATATCAGTCTACTAAGGTCAGCTCCCATTTTTTCTTTTTTTTTTCTTTTTTTTTTTTTTGAGACAGAGTCTTGTTGCGTTGCCCTGGAGTGCAATGGCATGATCTATCTTGGCTCACTGCAACCTCCAGCTCCTAGGTTCGAGCAATTTTTCTGCCTCAGCCTCCGGAGTAGCTGGGATTACAGACACTTGCCACCATGCCCCACTTTTTTTTTTTTTTGAGATGGAGTTTTGCTCTTGTTACCCAGGCTGGAGTGCAATGGTGTGATCTTGGCTCACCACAATCTCCACCTCCTGGGTTCAGGCAATTCTCCTGCCTCAGCCTCCCGAGTAACTGGGATTACAGGCACATGCCACCATGCCCAGCTAATTTTAAAAAATATTTTTAGTAGAGACGGGATTTCACCATGTTGACCAGGATGGTCTTGATCTTTTGACCTTGTGATCCACCCGCCTTGGCCTCCCAAAGTGCTGGGATTACAGGCTTAAGCCACCGTGCCCAGCCCCCCAGTATTTTTTTTTTTTTTTTGAGATGAAGCCTCACTCGGTTGCCCAGGTGGGAGTGCAGTGGCACGATCTCAGCTCACTGTAACCTCTGCCTCACAGGTTCAACCTATTCTCCTGCCCCAGCCTCCTGAGTAGCTGGGATTACAGGCACATGCCACCACGCCCAGCTAATTTTTGTATTTTTAGTAGAGATGGGGTTTCACCATGTTGGCCAGGCTGATCTTGAACTTCTGACCTCCTGACCCTCCTGCCTCGGCCTCCCAAAGTGCTGGGATTATAGGTTTGAGCCACTGCGCCTGGCCAGCCAGCTACATATTTTGAGGGGCAAAATGAAACTATGTGGCTCCTTGTTCAACACAGGAAAATGCCAGGTGCAGTGGCTCACGCAAGGTAGGAATCCCATCACTTTGGAAGGACTAGGTTGGAGGATTGCTTGAGCCCAGGAGCTGGAGTCCAGCCTGGGCAACATAGTGAGACCCCCATCTCTAGTTAAATAAATAGATTAAAAAATAATAAAATAAAAAATAGAAAGCAGAAAAAAAGCCTTTTCCTTTTTTCCTGTGCTTCCACTGTCAACCTATCATCCGAGTTTTTTTTTTTCTTTTTCTGTTTAATGTCACACTCCTTCAGGCACAAGAAAACCTGGGAGTAAGTGCAGGTCTTCACAAGTGTCTATGCCTTCCTTCTGCAAGGGAGGTGTGTAAGCCTGACTCGTCCCCTCCTTTCCGCTGTGCCCAGGCTACCTTTGGGAGTGAGCCTGCACAGAAAGTGGTGGAACAGGCAGCTGAAAACCAGTCCTAGGAGGAA